AATTGTATTGACGAGTGACCACCCATAATTTAATTGCAGCCAAATCATACCAGAAATTGTAGCCGACTTGAATGCTTCGGCTTGAATAGACATGGATAGACATGCTTTTATGAACATGTTGTTGAAGAAGTTTTATATACGTGTTCCAGTCACCTTTTAATGTCATATATACATTTATACACAAATATGAAATGATAAAATTTATCTAGAAAACACTCCAAAAAGACATCCATCCAAACGGAAACTTAAAACAATTTTGCAGGGATCCATGCAACATTCGACCCAAAAATTTCCTAGTTTTGTGCAAAGACAATTCGACGTTTCAATAAAATAGGGGCTTCTTCTCAAGGATGATTAAAACATACAGTATGACACAAAAACTTGCGCGTGAAATTAGCCCAAAATGACTAATGATTCTTTTCATTCGTCTCTCCAACCAGAAACGACTCAGAGAAACAATTTTAATTCCAAACAACTATGCTCTGCAGAACTGTTGTGGCCCTTCTGGAATCCATCAATGATCAACGGCATAAATTAAACTAGTTCTACTGAATGTTCTTGATTTCATCAATCTAGTCGCAATGTAAATACATAATCTGCAGTAAAAAATGGCAATATTCATAAGACTTGTATTGCAGCACGCAAGGAAAGCTTTTAACAGCAGTACAACTGTGTACAAGCGTCCCTCCCTGGACTTGATTGACAACAACTTACAAATTTAAACTGAGACTTTATTGAGACACCCCTTACGACACAACTATAAGACTTCCGACACAAAAGGACCACAGCTGTTGGACAAGGGGATTCGACAAGGACCACAGATTCTATGGCCAACGCGACCGAGGAAAGGAGCTCTTGCGTTTAGGCACAAATTTGCGCATCCAGAGATGCTTCCCATTTATGGTGAATTTGGCCTTGGTAACACCACCGAGAATCAAGTCAATGACTTTAGGCGTAGAGAACACTACTCGAGCATACAATGGTTGCTCATCAGACCTCACTGGTTGCATGTGGAAGGCCTCTATGCAATTCCCGAACAGCTTAGTGAAGAACTCCGTGACTTCTGATTCTGCAACAGGATAGCCCTTCGAAAATGTAACAAACATGGTCCTTTCCTCTTGTGATGCCCCATTAGCATTACTGTAGTCTCCACATGCTTCACCTACAAAACCCAAGTTAGAAAAGCTGTTAACCAAAGACTCGTATGCATTATGCTTCTTGACGACATCCTCTATGACATCCTGTAAAGCCATGGCACAAGTTTCAGTTACAACATTCCGAAGTTCTTTCACCACAATGGGCCTATTCTCATGAAAATATTGGAGAGTGATCCTCTTCTTCACGAGTCTAGAAGTTGCAGGAATTTCATTGACTTCAGCTGAAAGCACAAACTGAGGGTCATTAACACATTTGACACATGTCAAAGCCTCGTCAGCATATTTATTTATCAACATGGGGGGCATAGATAAGATTGTTAATACAAGATTCTTGAAACCTAGCCGCTCCATCCAAAGCCACAGGGCCATAATTTGCACAGATTCATAAGGATCACGCCAGAGATCGACAGCAAGGAGAGAATAAAGCGCTCTATCCATTGCATGGAAAGTACCGTACTCGTTGGGTGTAACCGGCAAAAGTTCAGGATCCATGGCCCAAAACCTGTTCACACCAACATTCACATATACAATCATCAACATCGAATTACAAAACCTTAAAAAGACAAGGCAAAAAATTTTCCACCATATACACCACAAAAATCATAGATTCAGCAGTTTAGCATTTTAATGGACTGGCAACTTTACTAAATTGGTTTTTTTTTTTTTTTGTGGGTACAGCACACAGACACACAGAGACGCAGGCACAACAAGAGTGGGGTGAACTGGATCAAAACTGTACATCACTTAATCTCCGCTAAAGTGACAAACATATGAGTTTGGTGCCTGGTCCTTGAACCAGAAAGGTATATGGAAGACAGGATCCTCATGGAAACCATGGAGAGTGAATTTCCATGCTGGTCTTCTCCACCAATTTCTCCTAACAACTAGCTGATATACACCCAGATCAAGCAAAATATTAAACAATGAAATAACCGGATAAATAAATCTGACTAGTACAAAAGAAGGGAAAAGAAACCTGAAGGGAACTTCTCAGAAAATTGCTTTTCAACTCAACTCCAACTCACATGATTTATAGGCAGCTCAAGACTCTAAAACAGGTGCGAAGAAGTCTTTTAGTTTCTCTTGTCAATGTACTCCACAAACAACAAACTGAAGATAAGATACTGGTATTAATTTCCAAGAGATATCCTCGCTAGTAGGTTGTATTTAATGTTTGAAGAAATCTTGAGCCTTGAAAATTGGACACATGCGAAAATTTTCTGTTTCAGTCAATTCATTTTCTGGCTATGTGACACACGTCAAACATGAAGAAAGGCGAAGGGATAAAAGAACTCAACAAGTTACCATATAGCCAATCTTCTAGAGATTACCATTCTGAGGAAATTCTAATAGGTCAAAAGTTTTTTGTAACGCTTTTTACTCGTCAATTTGTTCAATGTCCCCATCCCACTACTTGTAGACCAGGAGAAAGACAGCTTATTATCATCTAGTGGCCAATAATCAGTCATGCATCCACAATAGTAACATGGTACGAGATTAGGATTTTGAATAATGACGAGAAACCGTTTTATGTTAATATCCTCAGTACTGCTCAGCTAATTTGATACACTATTGCATTGTTCATCCAAGATAGCCTTGCGTTGCATCATAACAGGGACCTCAGATGACATAATTAGTATCAAATCTCAGACCATTCAAACTTAGTAGATCATTCATCTGCCAACATGAACCAGTCACAATAAGGTGACATGGTTTTCTGTATGATACCCCATTTCTACAGTAACGTGCTTGTGCAACACAATGATCTCAGTTTCCAATAGCCAAGCCATAGTGAGAAACACAGGCAAGGAAGCTTTCTATGAGACAACATCAAGTAAATGTTGTCGAAGGCCAAAAATAAAATTTGCATATAGCAATATCTGGTCCTCTTATTATGTTTCTTTTTTCGGTTTGACCTAAGATTCTACATGGCATTTCGGCATGAAGTTGCCTTCTTCATAATTTTTCCAATCTATTTGAATAAAAAAAACCACCCTTTCATCAGGTATCCTAAATAAGACCAACTATTCTGTTTACTGCTTTTCGTCAATGGAACTCTATGGTTTTCCTATAAAGTGCAAATAAGATGATATGCGGTTAATTATATGAATACAGGTTCTTGTTTTTCCTTTAACTCGTAAAAATATACAAGTTGAATGAAACCACTTTTTCATCAGGAATCTCAAATAAGCCCAACAACTCTTTATACCACTTTCCCATCAAAGAAACCCTATTGATTATCGGTAAAGGGCAATTATGTCGCTATACAGCCAGTTATATGAATACGGGTTCTTGTTTTTCTTTGAAGTCAAAAAAATGCACAAGTGGAAAAAAAACCGCTTTTTGTCATGAACCAAAGTCCAAAAGTTTTTTATACTGTTTTTCCATCAATAATACCCTGTCGACTACCTATCAAGCGCAAGAATGTCATTATACGGAAGATTTGATGAATACATTTGACTACCTATATAAGTGCAAGTATGTCGTTATACGGCTTTATGAATACAGGTGCTTGTTTTCTTTAAAATCCTAAATACAAAAGTTGAAATTTGTCGTTTAATCAGATCATAAAAGCTATAAATAAAAAAACCGTGAGAAGCTGTTTCAAACGGTCCAATTCTAAACCAACCCCAGTTTTTGGAAACCTCGTAAATGGGGTAAAATAATGGTTATAAAACTGTCTGCTATTCAAAAGCACCCCTAGTGTTAGAAACTCGTAAATGAGGTCACAGCCTTCTATTAGTAAGTTTTGTCATTTAAAATCCTACTTCTTAACAAAGGGAATTGCAACACATATTACTCTGTGTATCTATAACATGAGGACCTGTGCTGTATGGCTATAGCATGAGCTGCAGCACTAGTTTCTTCTGATGAGATCACAAGCACAAAGGCCTCTTTCTTTTTTCAGTTTATTAGTACAGAAAGCTGGAGCCTCTCTCTTCAATTTCTCATTCATATAATGTACTCAATTTTGGCTCATTAGGTATAGATGTTATAAAATCTGGTAAATCCTGGTGCTATACTGGTTCACCTAGTCCTCCAAGGTTGGGAACAACACTTATGCTGTTGTCATACTATACTCTACTGATAAATGAATGTGGATGTAGCTAATTGGTCAAATGATTATCTTTAAATCTCTATCAAAAGGAATATCACGAGTAAATGTTGAATGATTATGGTAATATGCATTAGAAAACTTGTTCTGCCTAGTAACTTCAAAGCCTTCTCATTCAGATAGTGCTTAGGAAAAGCTCAGCATAACTTAACATGCCTAATTCAGCATATGCATTCCAACAACTTTAAGAACTTCAGTTTTCCTGGTAATGCTTCTCCAATACACTTAGCTACAATTTGAGTGATAGCATGAGTTGCATGATAGGCATGTTACCTAAACTATTATAAAATCCATAAGGTGCTCAAATCATCCATCATTAGGCAGTTAAGAAAAGACACTTTGTTTCAACAAGTCTCTTGCCTAGCAGAAGTTAGTTTCATACCTTCTATCACAATCCTAAGCTGGAAACCCATGATCATTTCTCAACTACTTCATAACAGGAAGATCATCTGCATACCATCATAGAAACAGTTTCTTCCAGCCATTGTAACTTCTTTTTTCCTTTTTGACTGGTTTTACTAGAGCGGAGTTTAAGACAGATCTGGAATTCAACAAAAATTAGATGGTCAAATTTTCTTTCACAAAAAAGATCATCTGGAATTCATACCTTCTATCACAATCCTAAGCTGGAAACCCATGATCATTTCTCAACTACTTCATAACAGGAAGATCATCTGCATACCATCATAGAAACAGTTTCTTCCAGCCATTGTAACTTCTTCTTTCCCTTTTGACTGGTTTTACTAGAACGGAGTTTGAGACAGATCTGGAATTCAACAAAAATTTGATGGTCAAATTAGAGTTCAAAACCATCTCATAGCAAGTCTTGAGCCAATATCCAAAGCACAACGGTGAGGAGGAAAGTATTTGTAATCATACGCATACATCAAAACATGTGCAGCTCAACCGTGAATGGTGGACCAAAATGCAGAAAACCAAATACACCTGAAATCCTCCCCTTTAGCAGCCCCCAAGTTCCCTCCCTGCAAATAGGGAAGAACGTGGTTCAGCGACAGAAACTTAAGTGGCAAAATGAAAAGCAACTATCGCTGAACCAAGTATAAGGAGAACAAAAAGGTAAAGCTTCAATTTTCAATATTCATGCGTGAAAAGTATTGCAATCGGTTCTTCATCAACATATATCTTGGTCAAGGAAGAAAAAAAAAGAGCACTGGAGCCTGACATATTATGGGAATAAGACTTCATATATATAACAAACTAAATGCTTGTCAAAGGAGCGACTGCTATGACAATAGCATATCAGTTACATTTTGAAGCTGGCCAGAAGTCGGTACATCTATGATGATAAGTACAAAGCGCTTACAAAGATTTCCACCTCCATGAACATATATCCAAATTAGATTCATAGGGTGACAATGAAAAACACATAAGATCATTGACTCAACTGTCCTATACGTGTCTATTATTGACCATTATCCAGAGATGCTTGGGGTTGCAGTTGCACCTTGCAGATCAGATAAAGAGAAGGACCTCCAAGGAGAAAACTTCTGTCCCGGAGGTGACAATGAGTCATTGTACAGTGATCTTCTTGCTTGTGGTGGCAAAGGAGGAAGACAAATGCCACGAGATGGTGAATTTGAGTTGGAACTATCGCTGTTATTGTTGCTCTCGGTACAGCCCATGGATGCTGCAAGAGCCAATGAACTTCTAGAGCCTGCTGCTCTCTTTGATATCCCACCGCTGTTATTTCTTCTAATGCCATTGCGATTCTTATCCCAGAAATTATTACAGGCAAGCAAGTTTTTGCGTTTCCTGGTGTAAGAATTTTCTGGCTTTACAATATCTTTCATGGACGAACAATTTGCAGCATCTGATAGGCTGGTAAAAGACTTGGATTTACCACAATAAAATTGTGATATGCTCCTCCTGAAACAAGTCAAATTGCCAGTATCAGCAAAGCTTTAGACAACCCAAAAAAAAAATTCACTAAAAAAAAAGCAGCACAAGTGTCTAAGAATTTAAATGCCTTGCAGTAATTGTGAGATTTCTCACATAAATGTTGCTACAAGAGAAGCATTCAACAGTATGGAAGCTGAAAATGAAAAAAAAATTTAAAAAAAAAAAGACTTCCTTGTGTTAATTCAGTGTCAATGTCCAAAAAATGTAACTGCGCTCTCAGTTAATAAATAAAGTTAAAAAAAATGTCAAAGTAGAGATGAAAGAGGTAAAAATAAAAATATATTTAAAAAAGAACCACATCTCAGGATCTAACAGCAAAATAAAGATGTAATTCCAATTTTCAAACTGTCTGCCCAAATGATCACAACTCAATCATGTTCAACCATATGCATTCCACCTCATACTGACTGCTAAAAGTCAGTACGCAAATTCCAAATATTCCACAAAAAAACTAGACATAAAATTCGCACAAACCCTAAATCTACAGTGGATTAACAGAAGACAGCTACATACTTGATAGGCAAGACCTCCTCTAACGCCTCGAGACTATCCAAAGCTCCGCCTTTATACTCACTCTGCACCTCCTCACCGTCGCCGGCTTCCGACGACCGTCCAGCCGATGACTCCTCATCACTATTCCTCCCAATCGAAGAAGTCGACGACGATGACTCCCCACTCCGACCCTCATCCTCTTCCTCCACCTCCTTCCTCCCCGCTCCAACTCCGGCGCCGGCTGCCCCTAACTCCGGTGCCGGCGGCTTATTTCCATTAGCATACATCGAGAAACACGTCACTCTCTGTCCACCAAGTCCAGACCGTCCGATCAGATGATGATCAAGCCCGTAACTATTACCATTAATATGATTGGCAGCAGCCGCGGTAGAGGCCGCAGTCGCAGTCGTAGTACCAGTCGTATTACTATTGCCCTCTCCACCACGATTGACATCGCCGGTATCTCTAACTAGAAGAACAAAACGAACGAAGAAGTTCCAAAACTTACAGGAGTATGCTATAGACACAGAATTCTCTACGCATACGTAGATGGAGATAGAAACGTAGGACAAGGAGGGTCTTAAGAAAGAGAGGAGAGGATTATATAGGGAACTGCGACTTGAGAGAGAGAGAGAAATGATGAGAAACGGAATAATCAGAGGGGGGAGAGAGAGTGTGAGAGAGACAGAGATGGAGCAGCCTTATCTTTATCCATCCATCATTCACAGACAAATAGTATATTATAATGTCTTAACAACAAAATTCAATAAAATATTTGCAATTTGGATAATTAAACAAGATTATCTTTTTCCTTTTTTTTAATCATAATTGGACAGAGCCACAGAGTTCTATGGTATGGGCGCCCGTGCAGTAGACGGGGATGCGGATTTGGGGAAAGAGTGATCTTGGCCGTTGGTGCTTCTTGATGGGGTTGGTAGCGCTGGTATCTAGGGTTGAAAAGGATTCTGATCCTGCGGTTTTTTGCTGTTGCCAAGGAAGAATCCACTATTCTCAGAAGCTGTGGAAACCAAATCTGTGTATTTGTTTCGGCTTCTTTGAAAATTGAGGTTTGAATACGATTAAGGTCAAAAGTCCCAATAAAAGGTCCTTTCTTTTCTTTTTCTCGCGGGAAATTTCGCCTCATATTCTTCTTGCTCGGCCCTTCTGTTGTTCTATTTTTTTTTTAAGTACAAATTTATACTTATATATATCATTAGAGAATTGAATACAAAGAGAAAAGATGTGACAATGCAAGTCTGATGGGACAAATGATTTTTTGCATTTTGTTGTCTAGATTAATGGCTCGAAAAAATAGTAGATAAAGACAAAATGCTTAAACTTATATTAGAATATCATTTTCCATTGTGTAAAATAATTGTTTTCAAGCAATTCTTATGAGTTTTGCAAATTATTCAAAATTTTTGAATTTTTCAAAATTGTTTCCATATCAATAATATGAAAAGGTGTATTTGGATAGGATATCATTTAAAATAATTTTTTAAATAATTACTGTAACATTTTTTTATAATATGATATATATGAGATAAAAAAGATAATTGAAAACATGAAAAGGTGAGTTGAAATCCGTATTTATAATACAAGTAAAATAATATTTAAATATTTATCTACAAAAAGCAATTGTAAAATCACTACATGTGATAGTCAACATAGGAATTTAAAAGGATGAAGTAGGCAAGCCATCATTTAATCTGGTCTATTATACAAGACATGTAACGGTCAATATGGGAAGGAGGCAATCCATCATTTAATTTGTATACATCGTACATTATCAAAAAAAAAATTTGTATACATCGTATGAGTTATTTAGAGTAGGATTTTCCATATTTGAAATAATGTAAACTGTCTTTTCAATCTCATTACCAACTCGTAATTTCTATTAAAGGACCACATTTGTAATTCCTCAAACGTTAATGGATTTAGTTTGCTATGACAATTAAGGAATACAATAAAAAGAGCAAATTTAAAATGATATTTTGATCTTATATTTTGAAAGAGAAAAACATAAGGGAAGGTGATTTTTTTTTTTTTGAATTCAATGGAAGCTAAGTAATATTTTATAAAATTATCCCCTACATATATGAAAGTTGGTTTAGTGTCATGTTCATTAATATGTTTGGATAGACATTATTTACAAATAATCAGTCGCTTACATCATAAATGCATTTTCTAATATTTTCAATCTTTTTTTTTATATTTTACATACATCACATCATAAAAAATAATACAATAATTATTTCAAATAATCTTATATCCAAACGCATTTATTTTGAACAGTTGTGTGTTTGAAATAAATATACATTAATTTTGAATACAACCTTCGAACAGTAGCATTTGTGTCTATAGGTTTACTTCACACATATATATATATATATATATGTGTATGTGTACATGTGTGTGTTTGAAAGACTAGTAATAAAAGACAAGGTACATTTGCACTTGTACCAACTTAACATGTATCTGAAAAAGAGAATTAACATCATAGGCGAAAACGAAAGTAACCATCCAAAACAAAAGCCAGACGTATATAAGTCGATTAAATTCCAGAAATTACCATTTAAACACAGGACAATAAGTCATACGTGTACAGCAAAATTAAATAAGGCGGGAAGAATGAATGTCAAGACCCTTAGACAAAACCAACAAACTACTAACAAGATAAACAACCCTGAGGGTGAGGGTCAACCTTGAAAATCACGTCTTTGGCATCAGCACGGTTCTCGACACTCCTAACTTTTTCAAAACCCTAAAAACGCCGTCGTCAACACTTTGCAGCTAGACCGAAAAAAAAAAGAGAGATATTTCTCTGTATGGAAAAAAAAAAATTCTATGAATGGAGGACACGTGGCTGAATTTGGATGGCCGCCACGTGGACTAATGTTTGATCGTGGAAGCTGAATTCTGGTGAAAGATGTGATAGGGGTTGGGGTCCAGCATCCAAATGGAGAGATGGTTGGTCGGTGTTCAAAGCTGATGTGGGTTGCCTCTTCCCTCAATCCTGCGTCGCAGTCGCCTACTAGTGCTATTCCGCCAGGCTTATAGCGATAGCCTACCTCTCTCTTTTTCCTTTTTTTCAATAAATGGTTCACTTTTTTTTGGTCAAACACAATAAATGGTTCACAGTTTACTGATTAGTACTAGTGCTTGTCTGGACCAATTCCCGCCGGTGGTCCTAAACTCCTAATCAGGAAACACGACTCACTCCTAGCTTCCTCGGAGGAGGAAACAGGCTGGGATCAGTTATTGGTCAAAAATGTGATATCATTTCCTTCGTTGCCTTATCCACCACGCATGTCTATGTATTTTGTGTTTTTTTTTTTTTTGGTCTTCTTTTTGGTCAGTGTTTTGTGCTCAATTTTCGTTTGAAAGTCTAATAATCTTTGATCCATTCATTTAGGGTAGAGAAGACGAGTTCACTTTTTTCATGATTTGCTAATATAATTACACTTTGAGAAATAATAATTGAAGTCGATATTTTAACACTTATTAATTTGGCTGCTATAGACGTTAGTACAACATTTTTAGTTTGACTCTCAAACTAATTTTTTTTTATTATATGGTCCTTTGAAAATTTTTTTTAAAAAAAGTTGATAAAGATATAGCATAAATAGCTGCAAACGTATATATATATTTATATATCCATGCCTTGTCTCGGCAAAATGGCGTCGACTTATGTGATAACCCATGCCGTTGGCGCGTCTAGGATTTCATCAGCACCTGGTACCGTGTCATCTACACAATCATATTGTACATGGATTGCGCGAGTGTACGGTGGACAATGGATCTACCGTCTTGCAATTTGAGTTGTATTCTAATTTAAGTCGGTCGTGTAAATTAATTAATTTCTATATAAAATTTGAGTTTGTAATTTATATAATTATGTTTGAGAAAAAATTACTAAAACTTGGGGGAGGTCCCAAATTCACAAGACAATTCGAAAAATCATCCAAAGCTAGATCGTTCATCGGCAAAACACTAGGTGTAATTTAACTTTCGCACGTATAATTAAATTTACAGAGTGTGTAGTAGTACATCCCCTAATCTAGAAATGAGTTTTTTTGTCCTTCGGAGATATTTTTTAACTCCTCCTAATTCTCTTCGGTTTAATTGGGTCTTCCCTTGTGTAGATTGGTGTACAGACATCGTCGAATTAAAAAAGAAAAATCCATAATTGAAGGCATAAAATTGTTCATCGACTTGCTTAACCATTTGGTTGTGAGGTAAAGTTAAACCAATGAACATGATGATATCATGCCTGCACAGTGCACACAAGTAGCTTGTGGAATATATGTAAAAATTCACTCCATGAGGTGTGAATTGCCAAGAGATCCTGTGGTGAAGGCCGAAGATATCACCATAATTGGTGTATTTCTCGTATTTACACAGGCTTTATGAATGGCTCTTTGACCGTTTCGACTGAACTACTTTCCGAAACTATTCATCCACACAAGTTACCTTCAAACCATCAAACAGGTCCATGTTCTTTGTTCCAAATAGAAATTCGGTAAGTGCTTCCAGGAAGTTTTTGGTGGAATTCCTGATCAAGTGGAGCTCATTAATAAATTTCATATATCCACATCTTTTATGCTAATTGAAGTTTAACCAACAACGTTGTTATGCGTTTAGGGGTAGCAATTGAGCAGGAAAGAATGATAACGAGTTGTAAAAGCGAATGAATTAAAATGAATGACGTAGGATATTCTTTTACACCATACTCTCTAGTGACTTGGATGGGATTGAATATATATATATATATATATATATATATATATTTTTTTTTTTATTTTCGATACAGGGGTGTTCGGGTCAATCCTTACGGGGCCCGACTAATCCCCTACGACCCGAGCCCGGCGCCCCAACCCGACCCGAACACAATAAGTGCGCGGAGGAATCCAGCAGAGCGGAGACTCGAACTTGGGACCTCAAGGGTCACCGGTGAGAGGGGATTGAATTTGTATATACTAGTGCTTTTGGCACACACTTTGTCAAAATTCGAGTACAAGAGTTGGCTGAAGTAATTTTGGACCGCAATTCATTGAGTCAAAATGGTTAACACAAATTACAACCAAGGGGTTCAAGCTTTTAAATCATTTCCTCTTCTTCTAATGTGGGATGCTACATTCTCCCCACTATTAAACTGTTCATTTGGCCGTATTTCGGATTCTAAAATTGGCTCGTATGAATTCTAGAGGTGATTCTCATTAAACGTGACACTTAATCCCCACACAACACTTAAATCTTTGCACTAGAGTTGACCTCCATCTGACGTGACACTTAGTCCCGCACAGCATTTAGATTCTTGCACTTCATTGCGTGATTGGAATCATAACCTGTTGTAGTCCAAACTCACCTCAAGCATATACTACTCGATATTCACGACTCAAGTTCAAGGATTGACCCAAGTAATTTTTTCGACTAAAATCCACTAGTCCAAATGGGTTAACCCAAATTACAAGGTAGCCAAAGGGCCCAAAGTCTTAAATCATTTCCTTTCTTCATCAACCTCCGATGTGGAATGCTACACTCTACGTGCGTGCTTATTCAAAAAATAGATATTTTTAGATGTGTCTAGATAAAAGAATGTGCATCTGTAGAAGAGTACTAATCAGTGCACTGATTTAGAGACATTTATCTGATGAATTTAACGTCATGCATGTGAGAGGAATAACCACTCAA